CCAGCATCCGGTATTTCTTGTCAGTACCTGCTTAATCGGTCTGTTCGTCAGTACCTTTGTGAAGATCTTGTAATATGGTAGATATTTTAAGACATGGTAATATTATGGTTTATATTTTGTCATCAACTAGTGAGTAATCAGCGTCATTTACAATGGGTCAGAAATCTGATGTTTAGTCCCGATTAGTAACTGAAATGAGATATGGCCTTGCTAGTTATTACTGATTACCATCATAGTACAAGATTCAAGGGCTACGTAGTACACTTTGCTACTTCACTTTGTGCGGTGGTAAACGCATTGAATCACTGCGATGGAATGTGTTGTTCGTGTTCATAGCCATGTGAAAAAAAAACGCATGGATGCTTGTACAAACCTCAGTCCGGCCGTTTATGGTGTAATGTACTGATACGGTGACTGCAGTCAGCCAGCAGACCGCAGTTCTGTATTGTTTGTTTTGTATTGCTGGAATTTTAATTTATTATTAATGATTTGACTTTTACCTTGTCTTTATTGCATATCGGTACCACTGAATTGATGAAGTATAAGAATGTATATTGTCTTGTTTAGAATATATCGAATATGTGATGTCAGCAACGAAATTCATCCGAAACTATCGCGACTGTCTATCTATTTCTTTTTCGGCTTTGTAATTATAAAGTAATTGTGAATGCGACTGTTACAATGGGAATGTGTGGAACGGTCAAGATCGAGAAGATCAAAAGTCTGTTGCAAGATGCTGACCCTGACCGTGAGGCGTTGAAGCAGTTGGCATTGAGTACCGGCGGTTTCGTCAGCGATGCGTTTCGGCAGACGATCTGGCCTTTGATTCTGGACGCCGACGAGGATGAGGATTCGTCAGAACCGGAGTTAGACCCTCAAATGATCGAAGGTTGTGCCTCTATTTCTGAAGAGACTGTCTCGCGTCATCCGGAGTATCACCAGGTGTTGGTCGACGTGAATCGGACGCTGGCCAGGTTTCCGCCGAACATCACCGACGACAAACGTCATCAACTGCAAGACGAGCTGACGCCGTTGATCGTTCGCATCCTGGTGCGCAACCCGAACTTTCGTTACTACCAGGGCTTCCATGACGTATGTCTGACCGTACTGTTGGCGGTGGGTGAGAGGTGGGCGTTTCGTGTGTGCAGTCGACTGGCTACCACATACTTCAGACCATTCCTCGAAAAGCCGCTCGATCAGTCGACGCGAGTACTCAACTACGTGTACTCTTTGATAGCCGTGACCGATCCTGAGTTGTACAGCTACCTGACCCATGCCGAGGTCGGAACCATGTTCGCCCTCAGTTGGCTTTTGACGTGGTTTTCGCACGTAATCCGAGACTATGACACGCTCGTACGACTGTTCGATCTGTTCATCGTCTGTCACCACCTGATGCCTGTCTACCTCACCGCCTCCATCGTACTCTATCGCTTCGATGAAATAACTCGCAGTCACTGCGATATGGCCACCATACATTCCCTACTGTCGAAGCTACCCGTTGATCTACCCTACGAAGCTTTGGTGCAGGATGCCGTCAATCTTTACGCACAGTATCCACCGTCAACGTTAAAGACGATCCGTGCCGACGAACAGGTGAATGTTGCAAGGAAAGTCGTCACCCGAACGTGGCCCGTAGTTACCTGCTTTACCGTAGCCGTATTCGCTTGGTACCTTTACAAGGTATTCTCGTACGGCCATGTACCTTAGCCAGGTGCATCTGGCTATTTTATGAACTTTTGTTCTTTATTGCTGTAATGTCTCGTAACCACTCTAGGAAAGATGCTGCCAAAATGATGAAATGCATATTAAAACGAAATAAAGTTTGCATTTTTGACTTAAAACTTCAAAAATTCATTTTGCTTCCGTACTAAGCAATACGGCTGATGTTCAGATTCAAAGGTTTTGGGTGCAAAGCTAAAATAAATAATATTCGGTCAGTTTCGAAGATCACCTTCCGTTTCGAATCTCGAAAGAAAAGCCACTGGACAGTGCTTTGAACGTTGCCGATCCTGTGTCAACGTTTCAGCTTCAGCAGAAGGTAACCGGAGGCTGGAGATACAGTAGGGTTCCTTCGGTATTAAAACTGTTATGTAAATCACTGGCGTTTCGGCCACAGAATAGTTTCCTTAAAGAGAAAACAAACTAATGATCTTACAGTAACAACGAAGGAAACTTATGTAAATGAGTGCAGCGGTTTGCGTCCTTTTTTACTCCTAAATACGAAAATTATACTTGAGACAAAAATTTTAATTGGCATACGTTAGCATAAGTTAATTCTTCTATGGAGAGATATCATCACCATTTTACTCCTAGTTGACTAGAGGGAAGGGGAATTTAAACAGGCAATGGCTTCATAATATTTTAGCATCTGCATGTGAGATACCAGTAATGCGCTGTCAGAAATACTCCAACGTAGGAACATATTTTTACTGAACTTCTTACGTTCCGAAAAGGGCTCTCATTTTTTGCCCTCTAAAAATAATTGTTCTGTACCAACTCTTCGATTCATGATTGCATCTGATGAGTGTATTTTACGGCTGCAATCTTCCATGGTACGTCAGGTATTCGACTGAACTCAACACAAAGTATAAGCCATAAAAACATCAGTAGTTAGGCGTGAATGGAATTTTTGACTATGTTATGATAATTTTTAATAGTAGAACGCTTCGATGCCGCGGAATCTTCATCAACAAAAACCGTGAAGCAGTTACGAGGTCTGGTCAAGAAGGATTTTGCAGTAAAAAGGTCAACTGCTCATGGAAACTTTCCGTTCAAGGTAGCCTATGGCATTCCATGAGGGATAATTCTCAACTGAGACGACTACCTAAATTTAAAACCGGACGGATAGCGATTAAGAATATACCCACTAAAAGTTGTGTCTTACGCCTTATTCGTTGAGGTCATCATCTCAAGCCAGTTGTATTGACATTTTACACTAAATCCAAAGATATCTTTCGCCTGTAATTTCCACCATGCAAGGCATATAAGCAGAACCTATACGCAACTCCCTTTACCAACTGCACAGCTCTGCAACAACATGAAAATAAAATCTCTGGGGTTGATTGTAGATTAGAGCTGTGATTGGTAACAACAGATGAATTAAATGATTTACAAAGTGCGTCGGTCGATTTCTGTGTTTCGGTGCAGATGTAAGAGACTGTTCATTCGTCCAGAAGTGCTGAAATACTTTACCAAATCTTGCATCACCGCTCTTCCTATATGCTGCATCATTTTACGGGTTTGCTGTCGCCGGAGAAAACAACTGACTCACATTCGAAGCCATTTGAAACTATATCGCGGACTGTAACTGCAGAATCGAAGAGTTTCAATGCACCCTAAGCAGATGTTCCATAAAGACAATAGTTGTTCTGGACAGTTCGATTCTAACGGATTCAACTCACCCGCTGTACCACTGTTTCCAACAGTGCCTTTTGGAGCGTCAAAACACAAGACATTTGCAGATGTCGATGTGAGGTTTACCGAAGGTCAGTTGTTCTGTTCGGTATCCGACGTCTGACCGGTTCAAATAAAAAACTATCATTTTAGACCCGACCTTGCTCAATCTAATATGCATCCACTTTTACTCATAGTTTTAGTATTTGTTCAATGTTATATCTAGTTTTTGGCAACTTATCGTATGCCTTAGGGTTCACTTAAGCAAATTTAACTAACTGACTTTTCAACATTTTTGCTGTAAGGCACCACAAACAGCAATATCTCTGAAAGTATAGCATTTATTCAACAAGAGGCTTTAGGAAACCTAAAATGATGTTCACTTAACAGCATGAAAATAGAGTTTATCATTGTTATTCACAGATATTATGGTCATTCTAATAAAGGAGCACAGTACTAGGGTTCTCAAAAAAGCGGCGATGAATAAGTATTTTCTTTTGGGGCGTATGGCTATTTATTGTCTTACGTTAATGATGCCATTAAATTTACAAATCAACGGGTATTTTTATGGAAAATTTTAAAGCCTGCGCTACGATAATTTTATTACCAAATCTCTTCCTTTTCCAAAACGAATCTATAAGCCGAATTCACAGGAACTCACAAGACCTTCCAGTCTCAAAAGGGACTGCTGTAAATCGTCTGGCAATTTAGACTGAACATCTCCATCTCCGTAAACAATGCGTATCCTTTTGAGTACGGTATTCAAGTTCAATCGAGCATTATTCTTCAGCTGTTTGGCCTTACTTTCTTCAACACGATCTGCCAGTTTTAGCTGTGCCTCGGCGAGTTTTGTAACGTCATTAATCACTGTTCGTAAACCCGTTTCGTTTTCGACCCAGCTGTTCTGCCGCATAGACATATGGTAGGCCTTCTGACGAAGATGTAAGTACTTTTCCAACGATTCCGTGTTGTTTTCGCTTGAGCCATCCGATTCAGGATCACAAAGTTCAGCGTACAACCGCCAGAGGTGATCATCGTCCGGCTTACAAGAA